CACAAGGACATCCTGATCTTTCTAAAGTACTTAGGTCCTGATTTTCATGATATCTTTTAACCTAATAAATAGCTATAGACTTATTATAATATACTTGTTTAGCAATAAATCTAAAACTAAACTTTGGACTAGTTGAGTGCTCACATAATAAGACAATTTCATATCATTTCTCTAAAAAAAGTTCTATTTTTTAAGTGAAAGTTTAATGATTATCAAAAATTTTTTTGTATCATTAACACTTATAAATTTACAGGTGATCATATATTTTATTACATTATATTTCTGGAAAATTTAAGAGTAGTTATATAATAATTTTGAATGATCTTGAGCGGTCGAATACTTATAACCACTACTATATATAAGCCAATTAGAACTAGAATTTAAAAATCATATGTAATAATTTATTTTATTATTTTATTAAAAATTGTATCAGGTATATGACAATAAGACATATTTTTTAACTGTAAGCTTTAGCTAATTTTTTAATAATATTTTTTTTAAAAATAACGTTGCAACTAATTGCAACTATATAATACTTATTTATTATCAATTATAACTAATTGTAATTCAAGTTTTGTTAATATAACAACTAGTTACAATACTGTAATGCTTATTTATCACTAATTATAAACTAATTATAGACTAACCTATAATATTTATATATTACCATAATATTATACATATTTTAAATTATAATTAAAGGAATTGAATGTAAAGCTTTAGGAATAATTTGTTGTAATCTAATTCATATATAATTACTTAATTAGAATGATAAAAACATCATTCCAAACAAATAATAAAAGAATTATTCAATTAGAATGATAAATATATTATTCTAAATAAATGATGAAAGAATCATTCAATTAGAATGAAAAAATATTGTTCTAAATAAACGATAAAAAAATAATTTTCATAAATTTGTTATTACATATTATTTCAATTTCAGTTTATATAATTAACTTTAGATAAATTTAATCTGTAACTCTATTAATATTGAAGATATTAAAATTCTAATTCAAAATTCTTAAAACGTATATTATGGTTTATTTATTTTATGAATTAAATTTCAATTTTATATATAATAATTTTTTTTTTTGCATTTTAAATTTATTTCATTTTTAATATAACAAAGTTCCTATTATAGAGGTTCTTCACTGTAGTAAAATATTTTATTAATACTATAACTATCTATATATTATATTTGTATTATCATATTTAAAATTTAATAATATAAGTATAAGTCTAAATTTTAGTAAACATATGTATTCTGATTGAATATAAACTTAATATTTATTAATAATAAAAAAATATTAGTTTGGTTATGATAGTTATATTGAATAATAACAATATTATATATTAAATATAAATACATAAAATATTATTATTAATCTAAAAATATGAATTAAGTAATATTTAATAAATCATATTATAACAAATCCAATGAGCTATATCTTATGAAACATTTTAACATTTATATATATTAAAATTAATAAAATTGATAAAATAAAATGTTTATTAAATTATATATAAATAGTTCATTAAATTCAATATAATGAGATACATTAAACTGTGGGTAATTTTATATCTTTAGTATCTATAGATAAAAGGTTATCAAATTTAATAATATCTAGCCAGCATATTAATACTATTTATTTTATGTAATCACTGGTTAATTTTTAAATAGCTTAATTAGATTTGTCTTAAAACATGGTAAATTAATATACAATGTACCGAAGAAAAGAAAAGATTAATTTTATTAGAAAAAAAAAATTAAATATTAATTGAGATATTTATATCTTTGCGGCCGGAAAATAAATTATTCCAATTTGTCGATTTTTTGTTCTTTTCATTTTGTCACGCAAATCTTGCTACAACATTTGTTCAAATTTATTTTTTTTTTTTTAACATCGAAAATCTTTAATTTTTTAAATAATTTCTTTTGGGGCGTTGCCAGCAAAAAATCACATTACGGATCATATCAAAAGTAGCAGCAAGCTTTAAGCTTTTTTTCTGTAAATTCATTATTTTTTTTTCCTTTTGTTTTGCATCATGAAATTTTTCTTTGTGTTTATTTCTTTAATATATATATGGGGGAAAAAAAAATTAATGTTTGAAAAGTTAGTGGACAAACTTATCAAAATTATGAAAAAGCAAATATTACTTTTTCTTTAAAACTTTACTAATTTAATCAATTAAATGAAGTCAAAATCAACTATACATGGCACGTGCGCATAGGATTTGCAAAGATGAATGTCACAAAAATATTTTACCATGTGCGAAAAAAAATCGACGCACATTCCGTACATCGACTTTTCATTTTCAAAGTTGTCATGCTAAAAGTCCATCAAAATTTGTCCATTTAAACGAAATGGATCTTCGAATTTCGCATTTTGGGAAATTAAGATAAAGAGTTTTATAATAATAAAGTATTAAACGGTACAATATTTTCATAGTTATATTATACAAGATATATATTTTTTATTCAAGATGTACTAAAATCTCATTTGGACTTTATTTTGAAAGGAAGATCTTACATACTTGAGTAAAGATTATTCTTAATAAGGGATATTTAAAGGAGTTTGAATTTGATTTTTTTTTTTTTTAAAAAAAATAATATATATCTCTCTCTCCTGCATACGTCTTCCATTACTTGTCCATTAACGAAATATGTATTAATAAGGATCACAGGCAGGCAGATTATTTCATATTTATGATATTACTGATTTGACTGAATTACACCGAACTTTTTTATTTCCTCCCCCCTCTTAAAAATTAGAATCGGTATGTTCTGTTCAAAGGCGAATTTCAAAATTGAAGAAGTGGTTCCAAAGCATAAATTTGATGATGTATATTTAGAAGATTTCAAACAGCATGATCTAAAGACCAAAATAAAAAATGTTTTCGTTTTTGTGACGGTAGTTTGGATAATAGTAATTCATGTGGCAGATGTATGGATAGCAACCTTGTTAATGTTTGATAGTAAGGTTGCTTCAACTCAACCAAAAGTTTCTTTGAATGTATCAAAATTGATTTATGGTGGATGCCTTGCTACATCACATTTATTATTGACTTTGGATTGGAAAAAGTCAAAAGCTATCATTGATTCAAACGATATCGGTTACGCTTTTACTAATCCTATCGCTTTTAGATATCATTCTTTAAAGAGTTATCTTCATCATTGTTTCTTTTGTAACATCAGTAAGAAAAATGCTTTGGTCGATGACGTCACGTTCTTTGTATTCTCCGCTTTGAAAGGTAAATGTCACGTGACTCTTGGTCGTTTTTGTGGTTCCGAGTATCTTTAACGTTAATGTGAACATTTCTTTTAGGTTGGAGAAGACTCATCATATTTGAAGCTCCTCGTCAAATAGTTAATGCGATCACTCTTTTTAGCATAGCTAATTCAAATGTGTCATTTGGTAATAATATAACTGAAAGACTTTCAATTGCATTAATGACAATGACATTTTTAAATTTTTTTACGAGAGCCTCATTTTTGGCTGTTGCTTTCATGTTATATATGCTTTTGACATTACGTATAAATGAAAATTTAAGAGAATATTTTTATCATAAAGTTGATCAAAAGATTGATGAACTTCTTGAAGGGCAACATCATAAACATGAATTAAAACAACAAAAGATCTCACAAGTTGTAAAGGAGAATAATATCTTTCGTTTAAGGGAAGCTTTAAAGGAAGATCTTTCAATAATTCATCCTATGATTTCTAAAAAGCATTCTTCGTATGTTGACGAAGATGATTCTGATGTTAAAGAATATGCTCCTCCGGTTATTAACATAACGTTCTCTGAAGGAGATGGTGCTCTTGAGTCAAGATCTCCTCCTATAAATTTCGACAGGCTTAGCAACAGTTCAAGTCCTCAATCTCAGCCATTTCCCGTTCGTACAAGTACAAGTAGTAAAATGAAAAAACCAAACAGTTCAAGTCCTTATTATTCTCCATATCCCCTTAATCCAACTCCAAGAACTTCATACAGTTCAGTTGGTCGTTCTCCAACTTTTAATACATTTCCACTTCCACTTCCACTTCCACCTCCACCTCCACCTCTGCCTTCTGGATCTTCATACGATCCAAATATTGATACTTTTCCTCCACATGTAATGTATCCTGAGCGTTCACACAATTCAAGCCTTAGTTCACCACCTTCACAAATAAATTCATCCGGACCTTTATACGATTATAATATAGATGAAGATACCTACGTTGATCGATGGTAATTTTTAGTTAATGTTTTATTGGTGAAAATTTTCAACATAGGAAATAAACAAAAGAAAAAATATTTAAAATATTTGCAAATCTTTATTTATTTATTTGATTTCGTAATTTTTATTTTATTTATTCTTAAATTTATTTATTTATCTAATTTTGATTATTATTTGTATATTAACCAAATAAAAATTTCATTTTTATCTTTTTTGTTTAATAATAATTAATTAATTATAACCGCATATAAATAAAGTAATATTTAACATCTATAATAATCTATTATTATGATTATTATCATTATTATTATTAATATTTTTTAAAAAACGGAAAAAAATAAATTGTTTTTTTTTTTTGGTGTCTTGCTAAGGATGAGGAATAATTTTATGAATTTAAAGAAAAAAACTATTCTTAACGCTTAGCAAACATTATATATACATTTAACAGAATTAAATCCTCCTTGACAATGTTCTTGGCTTACACAAAGCAATCTAACTTCCTTCATTCTTTTATTTATGATTTCACCTTTTTCTTCTCGTCATATACCAAATTTTTCCTATTATTACCATTTTTAACTTTCCTTTTCTTCTTCATCTCTTGTTCCAATATCTTTTGCTTTTCTTTAAGCCTTTCTTCTTCTTTCGTTAACATAGCTAATCTCTTACTTAATAATGATACACCAAAGAATATAAGGCATATTCCAACAATAAATCCCACATATTTATCTACGGTAAAATGATGAAATTCATCATAATAGATGCCCCCTCCTATAATATCAAATAAACTCCAATTGCAATAAAATATTGGTACCTGCAATAATGCATCATACTTTTTTAATCCCATATTTATCCAATAGACTTGACCAATCGCTGTTGAAACAGTGATCAAGAGTATCATCCATGATAATAAATCTTTAAATTGATTATCTTTTTGTACAAATGATATTGTCAATAAATTAACAAGGGACTAAGAAAAAAAAAACCAAAATTTTTTTTTTTTTGTTAATAAAAAAGGGAGCTTCATTAACAATAACTTAAACACAAACCGATTTACCTTTGCAAACAGGGTGGTGATTGTAGCCAAACTGGATGCCAATATTGCATAAGCCAGTGGCAAAAGAACCTTTTCTTTAAGATTTCGTTTTCTAACGGCAGATCCGGTTGTACGCATTGAAGAAATTGAATTCCGAGTTGGAGGTATATGTTTTGCGTTACTAACGTCAAGCACCACTTTATCGGTAATATCCTTCTTGTTAAACAACGTATGCGTGACTTTGTCCATCGAGTCATTAACTTGTTCCGTTACAACGGCTGATGATCCATTTTCCCCTAAAGTTTGTTTGATTAATATTTCACGTTAACTCTTTCTATTACAAATTTAACAAAAAACTATCATGTGAAATGAAGTTCATTACCAACCTTCGATCAGCGATGATTCGTTTACATTAGTTGATTCGGGGGTACTGTTTTCATGTCCGATAGCAATAATATTGGCAGCTTCTTGGGCAAGCGCAATTTCATCCTCTCGAGCTGCATTCCTTTCAATGACGCGTATAAAAGTAAATAAAGCACAGATAAAAGCAGCAATCGTAGAAAGATAAACGATTGTTTGGATTCGATGAAATAATCCAATAAGAGCGCATAATTTATAATCTATTCATACAAATATCATCAAAATATATATTAAAAAAATAAATAAGTAAATAAATTAAATTCAAATTTAAGACTAACCTTGTATAACAATTCCAGAGAATACTGTGATCACGATACTACCGCATATGATGATTACGACACCAACAATGTCCCAGATTGTTAATTTTTGATGATGAAGTATCGGAGCGATTATCAGATTGACAACTAAAGATACAACACCTAGTGGGGCGACGACTATCATGTAGGAAATTAAAGATTAACTTGGTATGAAAGTATATAAATTTGTTTATGAATTGAAAAATATAATTACGTACGCGATTGTGGAGCGAATTTGAGTGCGACAAAACCTAGCAAGCTTCCGAAAATGTAGATACCCAGCCCAAGGACCCAGAGCTAGTGAAGAAAGGAAAGGAAAAAAAAGGTGAGATACTTTTTAACAAATTGAATTCACATGACGATGTGCGGAAATAACATTGACGAGGTGGAAAAGTTATAACTTTTGTGCGACAGTTTAATATAATCCTGGACCACTCTATGATAATAAAACGAATTCACGCTTCATAAAACTTACCGGTGATACAATGATTTGTTTCCAGAACATAAAACGTTCCAACTTTCTATAAAGGCTAGAACGTTCCAAATTATTTATAGAATTAACATCATCATCTACACCTGATTTTTTGTTCAATTCATCTTGGTACTTAGTAAAAGCATATTTTTGAACATTCAATCCGATATTTGCGGCTACACCTCCCAATAAACATATTACAATACCGATCCAAATGCCTCCCTTTCGATCTTCGTTGAAGCACTTTGCGCTACCAGATGTTTTATCATAAATACAGCTAGAACTATAATCACATGGATCAACATCATTCGCTATTATATCACATTTTGATTCTGACGGAAGTCCATTACAACAGTTCGATGCTTTCCTATATTCAATCACTCTTACTTCCTGACTGCAATTGGGAAGTGATGATCTATGGTTCATGGTGGTTCTG